TCCCCCGCCCCCGCCCCATCTCTCTCTCCCTCCCTCCCTCCCTCCCTCCTCTCCTCCCCCTTCTCTCCCCCTCCCCCTCCCCTTTCTATCCCTCCCTCTCCTCCTCCCCTTTATCTCTTCCTCTATCACTCTCTCCTTGGCGGATCTTGCTCCTCTCGTTGCTCCAGGACACAGACTTCGTTTCACAGAGGTAGGAAGCTGAGATTCCCAGCCCCTCTGTGTCATGCCAGTTCATGGCAAAGAGTCTGGGGTAAAGAAAAGGAAGCTGAGACTAGTCTGGAAGTTGCTAAGTTCCACCAGAAAGACAGCCTGAGAGCCTCTGCAGCAGCCAGGATCGAGGAGCTGCGCGAGCTGGTGAAGAAAAGAGAGGCTGTTATCTTAGTTTTCTTTAAAAATCATGTTTTCTTTCTTTTTGATGCACGGTGACTGCTGTTTTTGCAGGGGGAAAAGGAGTGGAACTGATTGCTTAAAATTCTCAAACAGGCTTCTGGAGGGGCCCACAGTTCTGCTCGCTGGCTTTTAAGGGAACTCCCTATAGGAGCTGGCTCAGGCAGGAGAGGCGCTGCTCAGGGAGGGACCACCCCTTTCCTTGAGCTGGGCCTCCTAGCCGTAAAGGGCAGGGGTGTTGTGACAGCCCAGTGCTGGGGTCTGTGGCTGACCCTGAGGGGTGAAAGCCAGCATGCTTGTTCCTGTCATAGAAAACTGACACTTCTGTCTGATTCAACAGGCGCAGAGATCCCGGGGGTGAAGGTGTTCCTGGACAACTAGGACTGCTCCAGGTGGCAAGTCTGTTTGCACCAGAGAAGTCACGTACATTTTTCGAAGTCACACCGTGAGTGTGCATGTGAGATCACAGAACAATTTGTGGGAGTCATCTCCATTTCAGCGTCTGAAGGACCGAACTAAGGTCCTTAGGCTTGGTGGCAAACACGTTACCTGCTGCACGGGAGCCATCCTGAGGGCCCAAGCATGCCTGTCTTGTTCTTTGAAATGGAATAATCTCAGAGTATCTAGTGCACAATGCCATTTAAGAAAAAAAAGATACAGGCTGAACACATATAGAGAAAAGGGAGGGGTGATTATTAAGGAATGGAGAGACAGCTCAGCAATTAAGGGCCTCTATTGATCTTTCAGACAACCCAAGGAGTTCCCAGAACTCAGAACTGCAGATTTAACTCCAGCTCCAGGGGATCCTCTGGCGCCCTCTTCTGGCCTCATAGACACCTGCACTCACACACGCTCTTTCACACATAACTTTAAAAAAAATTAAGTAATTTTAAAAATCCTTCAGGAAGTGATGGCATTTGCAATTCCAAGATCTAGAGTGCTGAGACAGGAAAACACGTGATGTGGAAGCCAGACTAGGATACATATGGGATACTGAAAAGAAAATGAAAAAAGCACACCTCCCTGCGGACCCCCCCCCCCCCCCCCCCCGCAGAAGTAGCATCAGTCAACAGTTGCTGATTGTGCATGGGAAAATTACAGTATTTGCTGGGGTTCCTTTAACAGTGATTGCAGAGCTAGGAAACCCTGTTTAGTGAAACATGCCCACAAAGAACAAAGCACCTTCCTGACTAATGATTACATGGTCATATACCACAGTACACGGTGTTTGAAAAACCGTGTTAACTGTTTTGGCATTTTATGAAAAAGAATTCTCAATCTGTTCAGCAGATTCAAAATGATGCCCCAGTGTTCCTGGAGTTAAAACATCCACTCTTGCTCGAGTTATCTAGGTGCCATTTGACTCTCACAAATAATAACAAACTGATTTTGTCTCAATTATCTTGGTGATCCAAGTTAAAGTGTGTTTATAACCTGGAGTATTTGGATAATTGGCTCAAAATGCCACTCTGTTTTGTGTGTATAGATGAAGCAATAAAATATGCCAAGAGGAGACAGATGAAATAAAAAGGATTCATGGGAAAACGTGGCTTAAGTTGTAGATTTCTTTTTATGGGAAACAGCCTACTGCAGTCCCAGCTGGGTGTTCACAAAGCATCGGGCATAAATGAACAGGAGGGGGTGTGACCCCCACAGCCAGCTCCTCTCTGTCACATGTCCAGATCTGTGCCATTGCCCAGGAGCATGCGTTGGGCAGCTAGTCAGTGGCAGCAGCACCATCTGTCTAAAAATTAAGAAAACAGAAGTCACAAGGCCTTTGCCAAAGACAAATGAGCCCCTAACATGCGCACACACTTCCGTGAATTTCCATCTTAGCCATGATTCATATGCCAGAGCCTACCTGGGACACTTGAAAGTGAAAAACGTGCTGCCTCTTGACATGGGGAAAGCACATCAAATAAAAAAAACCAGGCACACGTTGTTAAATTTGGAAAGAAAAATTTCTGAGTGGGAGCATGAAAGAATATTTCCATTTTCTCTGTCATCTACCTCCACACACATCTCCATTTTGTTTTCCGGGAAAAATAGTGGCATATGATCATCAAAACAGAACTCTTACAAGATCGACAGTGGACATTGTTTAAAAGCTGTCATATACAGACTGATGAGATCTCAATGGGTAAAAACACTGGCTGTGCAAAGCCCCAAGGACTGGAGGAACTACATAAAGGTAGAAAGGAAGGCCCTACTCTACAAAGTAGTCTCTAATCACCATGCATGCATGTGGCAGAGAATGGCCACACATGCACATGATCTTTCAAACAGTAATACTTAGTAAGAATAATAACCTGTCCTAGTAAAACACTTGTCATTTACTTACAGTAGCAAAACATCTCTGGGTCTGTGTGTTGATGGCATCTTAGAGCTGGTCAATAATATAAAAGAAACAACATCCTCGCACTGGGCTTTCTCCCTATTTTCAACAAAAATCACAATCAGAAAGTTAGCGGAAAGGAAACAAGGTCCATTGCTCTGCCCATTACCATCCAGAAATTCAAGGGAGGTGATGAAAATCATCTACAAGGAGCTGTAGGGATAGACAGGGAGGGAAATGTCCGTGAACAATCACCCTGAGTTCAGTGAAAGGCCATGGTGTGCAAGACAGGTTTGGAACAGCCTAGTATGAACACTACCTTGAAACAGGTAGTGATCAGTCCTGATTCAGCAAAGTGACCACACATAGATAACAGAAGAAAATGTCCTGTCTGTCCAGATGGCGAAAGCCCTCCACTTGGCCAACCCCAGCCAGTGTGCTTTGATTAGTTCATTGCGTAGATCCTTTACACTTTGCCAAATATAGTTTCACTTAAGAGGACGCTCCTGTAATTTTTTTAAGTTTTCACTCCTAAGTATGGCTTTATTTATTCTCTCCTGCCTCTCTGACCTCCCTGCACTGACAGTAAGTTAACACGGAGTACCTAAAATAAGACGCATCTTAACGTCCAGCCCCCCTCCACTCTTCTACCTACATCCTCACTTTCTCCTCCATTCTCTCTCATATCTGGGAAAAAAACTGACACCATCTACCCAGCTGCCCAGATCCACAAAGGATGCGTTGCCCTAGCTTGCTGCCCTTCTAGTCTGTTAACAAAAGCAATTGTTTCCATCTCTAAAAGATGACCTGGATCTCTTTATTTTCTGCTTCCCTTTTACGGTAACCAAACAAATGTCCATCATCATCTCCAGCTAGAACAGCTGCAATCACTAACTGCTCTTGCCTTCCTTTTATAGCTCATTTTCAATGGAACAGATTGATAGTTCAAATATATGAATTGAGCGATTGTATATTCCCCCTTAAAAGCGTGCAAGGTTCCTCGTTGCACTGAAGACTCCAGGGGCCCCAGGACAACCTACGAAGTCCTCCAAGACCTTTCGAGCTGTTCTCTGACCTCTTCCTCTTCTAGTATTCCCACTTTGCTAATACAGTCCCAATTGTTACAGTGTCCTCATTCACCAAAGCAGACTCTCTGCCGTCCACCATGCTAGACAGTAACTGCAAAGGGATGTTGAACACTCAACTCATGGCTACCACAGAGGAGCAGAGTGGTTAGATTTTAATTATTTAAAATATAGTAGATTTGTTGGCGTGTGGGTCCAGTCATGAAGACCGCATGCTTCATACCTCAAGTCATGCTTGTGATCTTCCATAGCTACCCAAGTGACAGGGACTTTGGGAGCCACAGATTGTCCCATGCTGGCTACTTCTGCATCAGTCCTGGCTTCGGGTGTTAACTTTCTTTTTGAAGAAATGTTGATTCCCAGCAGCTGTGACAATAATATACCTGACCAAAGCAACTAAAAGGAGGAGAGGTTTATTTTGACTTATGTTTTGAGGTGCCACAGTAGTTTGTCATGAGGCGGGAGGCATGTGTGCAGGAGGGACTCTAGCTGTGGTGGCAGGGGTGTGAGGCAGCTGCTGATATTGAGGCTGTGGCCAGGAAGCTGGGTAAGATGAATACTGACGCTCACCTGGATTTGTCCCTTTTTATTCAGTCTGGGACCCCAGGCCATGAGATAGTACCACACATGTGGTGAACGGGTCTTCCCTCCTCCGTCAAACCTCTCTGGCAATGTCCTCACAGACACACCGGAGTTTAGTCTGCTAGGTGATCCCATATCCAGTCATGTTGGCAGGGAAGATGACCATAACACTTTCCAAAAAGACTCTGGGTACCCAATGATGAATAAACGCTCAATGGAATTATGAAAGGAAAATAAATGTACCACCACTATGTTTCATATTCAAGGCCATCCATATATATTTATGCATATACACATGTATATGATATATACATATGCATATATATATATATCCTAATTGCTTGCATAAATAGATGTCTCTAAATCTTTCCTTAAATTCTGTTATGACGAGTATACTCATGGGTAAAATCATGCAAGCAGAACTCCACAGGGAGCTGCTTTAGAAAAAAAATGCATTGCTATCTTAACTTACTCATCTCTTAGAGAAATAAACACTGGCCAGAGTTTTAAAATTTATATATTGAACATGTGGTGAAATGTCTATAGTCATGGTAGGCCCAGGAGTGGGGGAATGAAATTTAACCATATACCTCTGAGTAGCAAGTAATCTGGGAAATTCAGAATTAGAAG